ACGCCGCATTGAAGCAGTCATTTCTGCAAAAGGATTCCCCACCAAGTATTGAGTGCAGAACTGAACATAATTGACTGATGTGTCTGAGTGCATCAGAATCAGAATATCTTTATTGTCATTATACCAGGTATAATGAAATTAATATACTCTACTTTGTGGTGCTACAGACATAAAATAATGCCAAACAAACTATTATTAACTACTGTTAGCTACTATCAGAATCAGAAAAACACATTTCCAGAGCTCGTTTACRTGTAAAAAGAGCCTTGATGTGATTTCTTTTGTTTCAGACTTTTTTATGGTCATTTTAAAAAGGATCTGTAAATGTTGTTTCATTCCTTGTTAAAAACAAAGATACATGTTTCTGAAAATGTTGTCAAACTACAGCTTTGAATTCATATGGTAATGGATGTTGTGAGTTCATAAATTGAAATGTGTCATTTGAAATATTAACAAACATCAATCAAACTCAATCTGTGTTTCATGCAGATTGGGAGCAGGAGCAGTGTTTACTCTCCAGAGAGCAGTGTGAGGAAGACAGGCTCTTACATCTATGAAGAGTTTATGCCAACTGATGGAACTGATGTTAAGGTAAAGTATTAGTTGAGCTTCACTTATTGTAAAAATAGTAAAACCTCTTGAGCCCCTCTGATCCTTGAAGATTTATGCAAGGAATTTAGTGATTTCATCATCTACAGTCCAAAATAATATCAAAAGGTTCAGAGAATCTGAACAAATCAAAACCAACACTGACAGCCGGTAACCTTTGACCCCTCAGGCAGCCCTGCACTAAAAACCCACATCACTCTGTAACAGATATTAACACGTGAACTCAGGAAGACTTGAGAAAACCATCATCAGTGAACACAGCTCATCTCTACAGCTACAAGTTAAAGCTCTATCATGCAAAGACAAAGACAGATATCAACAACAACCAGAAACACCTCCAGCTTCTCTGGACCTGAGCTCATCTGAGATGGACTGACTCAAAGAGGAGAAGTGTCCTGTGGTCTGATGAGTCCACATGAAAACAAGTCAAAATCTTGGTTGTTGTGTTCTCCAGTTCAAAGAGAAAGACTGTCTGGACTGTTATCAGCACAAAGTTCAGAGGCCAGCCTCTCTGATGGTATGGGGGGTGCATTAGTATCTGTCACATCTGTGAAGGCTCCATTATAGCTGAAAGCTACATCCAGGGTTTGGAGCAACATATGCTGCCATCCAAGCCACGTGTTTTTCAGGGACGTCCTGCTGATTTCAGCTGATTTCAGCAAGACAATGAAGACACATTCTGCTTGTGTTCCAACAGCGTGGCTTCAGAGTAAAGAGTGCAGGAACTAGACTGGCCTGCCTGCAGTCCACACSTGTCTCCCAGTGAAAATGTGTGGAGTGTCATGAAAAGATGCTGAACTGTTGAGCAACTAAAGTTGTTCATCAAGCAAGAATGAAAGAATTCAGCTACAAAACTTCAACAATTGGTGTCCTCAGTTCACAAACACTGAGTGTTGTTAAAGGAAAGCTGATGGAAAACAGAGGGAAACATGACCCTGTCCAGATTTATTACTACATGCTGCAGAATCAAATTCAAATGAGTAACTATTTGGAAAAAAAATTTAATAATGTTTACCAGTATTGTTAAAACACATAATTATTTTGTATCTGTAGTTTATTCAATAGAATATAGGTTGAAAATAAGTTTCAAATCATTGTTTTCTGTTTTTATTTATGTTTTATGTAATGTCCCAACTTAATTGGACTTAGGATTGTAAATGAAGCTATAAACCTGTATGTGGTGACTTTGGATCCTCTGTGTGATGCCAGGTTTACACTGTTGGACCAGACTACGCTCATGCTGAGGCCCGAAAGTCTCCAGCTCTGGACGGGAAGGTGGAGAGAGACAGTGAGGGGAAGGAGGTTCGTTACCCTGTCATGCTTTCAGCTATGGAGAAGTTGATGGCTCGTAAAGTGTGCCTGGCATTCAAGGTGAGTAACTTTGTTTAGCTGATACATAAATAGTTCACTTTGTTGTAATTGTAAAGTAAAAGTTTTGCCTGATTTTAGGGCTTACTCATTTAACAATTTAATGTTGCAGCCAAACAGGTAGTAATAATATGTTTGAAAGCTGGTTTATTACCTATGCATGGGCATAGATAATTACAAAAAGTATTTCCTCAAAACAAGTGTTCCTTCTGCTTGTAGTCCTAGCTGCAGTCTGCTTTGTTAGGTKTGTCCTCTTTTAAATGTCTGGTTTTTATTCTAATCAGTTTGCACAACTTGTATTTCACAAAACTCTGGATGGCATCTAATTCTTAGGCTGAAATACCTGGAGGATCCTTGTAGAGATGATGTTTTTTTTTTTTTCCACACAAGCTTTGAGGTCAAGAGGATGCAGAAAACATAAATTTCCTTCAAGAATCTCCTTTAGGAAAGCTGTACCTTCTCTTTTGACTGCAGCAAACTGTGTGCGGCTTCGACCTTCTCCGGGCTAACGGTCGCTCCTACGTGTGTGACGTCAATGGTTTCAGCTTTGTGAAGAACTCCATGAAATACTACGACGACTGTGCCAAGATACTTGGGTACCTTCTTTAGTTTTTACTGCACCTTTAAACTTGTAATTATTTTTTTCTTGATTTGCTGAATATTTGTGTCTGCTTGACATTTCAGGAATATTGTGATGCGTGAGCTTGCACCTCAGTTTCAGATACCGTGGTCCATCCCAACAGAGGCAGAGGACATCCCCATTGTCCCCACTACTTCAGGAACAATGTAAGTGACATCAGTATTAGAGTTGGTTTGTTAGGAAGAATAATCTGTGTCTGGGTTTAATAGAAAGTTGATCATTTTCACTGAAACCCTTCAGGATGGAACTACGATGTGTCATTGCTGTCATCCGTCATGGAGACCGAACTCCCAAACAGAAGATGAAAATGGAAGTTCGCAACCCCATGTGTGTTTTTTCTACAATCATATTCTTGTATATTATAAACCAAGATTAAAAACTTTCCATTAATTATGTATTTTTCATACATGTAGGTTCTTTGATCTGTTTGAAAAATATGAAGGATACAAAACTGGGAAATTAAAACTTAAAAAGCCAAAACAACTGCAGGTAAATAAAAAATCTAACATTTTAACACCAGGAACACTGACAATGTGTTTGATGCTTTTATTCTTAACATCAACAGGAGGTGCTGGATATCACGAGGCAATTGTTGGCAGAACTAGAGCAACAAAATGACTGTGAGATCGAAGAGAAAAAGTCCAAACTGGAGCAGCTGAAGACGGTTTTAGAAATGTAAGTAACAAGTGGATAATTTCCCGAGAAGAACAACTTATCACTGAGATCAGGTTAATTTATTCTAAAGATTACTGCAGAGAGAATCAAACCTCTGTTGTCTACACTTGCTTGTAAATGCAGTTGTTTGGATAAATTATGAGATTGATTGTGGTACACTGGGGACCAGAGGTGAACTTTTCATTTCTAATTTATAGGATTCAGCTCAATKCTATTTATTTATTTTTGCTCATGCATCAGTTCTGTTGACACTTTCACGATATTTGATCAGATCGTTTTTGTAGGAATAGTTTTGTTTCTAAAACAACGTGGAATAATGCTATACTCTGACCAAACACATTTCAGTACTGTCAGATCCCTTTGACCTGATTCCTGTTTGCTAATTTTCTATTTGTTTTTCATATGATTAAGACGGATATTAAATGTCACTGTCTGCTTCATACAGCCCTGATCAGGCTGCAGTGTATGGATGGTAAACACTTGGCACTCGGATTCTCTGCCTTGCTTTCCTGAAAGATTCTAACTCTAAAAATCTAAGATAAATGTTTCTTTTGACAGAAACTCAGTAGTTCAAATTATCTTTTTATTCATTTTCAACAGATATTATTAATTCCACTTCACCTTATCAGAAGTAAAAGAAGAAAAATAACAGTGTTTATCTATAAAYGTTTTGCAGTGACTTAATGTTCCTTTTTTTTCCTGTTAATAAAGGTACGGTCATTTCTCAGGAATAAACAGAAAAGTGCAACTAACGTACCTTCCCCATGGGCAGCCTAAAACCTCAAGTGAAGAAGAAGGTTGGTGAATATTAACTTTTTTCTTCTTTTACCTTAAAGRCCTTCTCAAAATGCTCAAACTCATTGTTAATTGTCTCTTTAGACAACCGTAAGGAAGGTCCATCTCTGCTGTTGGTGCTGAAGTGGGGAGGAGAACTGACTCCTGCTGGCCGAGTGCAGGCTGAGGAGCTGGGACGAGCTTTCCGCTGTATGTACCCCGGAGGACAAGGTGAGAGGCACACATAGTGTTAAATCTCTGTTGTGGTTTTGAAATATCACAAAGTATTTTTTTTGTTTGCCAATAATTCATTTAACCCTTCCAGCCATTACAGTATTTTCTGTTGATGTGTGATGGGTCAAATGCAGAGTACAAATTTCATCCTTGCATGGGAACATCCAGGTTTTGGAGCAACATGCTGCCATCCAAGCCTCGTGTTTTTCAGGGACGTCCTGCTGATTTCAGCAAGACAATGAAGACACATTCTGCTCGTGTTCCAATAGCGTGGCTTCAGAGTAAAGAGTGCAGGAACTAGACTGGCCTGCCTGCAGTCCACACCTGTCTCCCAGTGAAAATGTGTGGAGCCAGAAATGTATAGAAATGAAGTGCTGCACTTTGATTCTAGCAAATGTCCCTCAGCAGATCTGTCTTTTAATGTTTATTGTAAACTGATGTCAGTGAAATGTCCTGTGTTTATTTACATCAGCATTGCTGTTTGGACTGTGGCTTTTGTAGGAGACTATGCTGGATTTCCAGGTTGTGGKTTACTGCGTCTGCACAGCACCTACAGACATGACCTGAAGATTTATGCATCTGATGAAGGCAGGGTCCAGATGACAGCTGCAGCTTTTGCAAAGGTATTACTGCTGAAATTAAGAGAGGAAAAATCCTGAGAATTCAACCAATCAGCAATTATTAACAAATCCCAACAAGCAGCTAAGTAAAGAAAGCATTTCAGAAAGTTTTTATTTTCAGAAATAACATTTTTATGAGTGTCGAGTTAATAGACAATTAAAGTGGAATCATTCTTTTTGTCAGTGAGAAATAAAGTTTCCACCTGCACAGCCTCAAATAACATAAAAATTAACATTTATTCATGTAAACATTAACTGGTGAAATTTTCCACATTCAATGATTGATTTGATGTTTTTGGTCTGTAGGAGGTTAGCACTGTGTGCTGGTTTGATCATTTTGTCTCTACACAAAACCAACTTATTTAGATATGGGTTCGAACTTGAAAAATATAATGTTACCATAAAGTTTTTTCATTAATCAACATTAAAGCAGCTCATGGCAGTTGATCAGTCACTTGTTAATAAAGTGCTGATCATCCTTCTGCATCTACTTTGCATTAAAGCTTGTCCTCATRTTGTGTGTTTGTGTTTGTGTTTGTGTGGCAGGGTTTGCTGGCTCTGGARGGTGAGCTGACACCCATCCTGGTACAGATGGTAAAGAGTGCCAACATGAATGGTCTTCTGGACAGCGACAGCGATTCTCTGAGCAGCTGCCAGCACCGTGTCAAGGCCCGGCTCCATGAAATCCTGCAAAGGGACCGGGTGTTCCTGGAGGAGGACTATGACAGGGTGAGTACCTGCTACTGTGTAGGAGGGAGCATCAGATCAGTGGTTCTTTAAGAACATGCTGACCAGAGGAATATTCAGCTGTGTTTAGTCAGAGAACTAAAGGCTTTGTTGAAGTTAGGACATGTTAGCTTTAGCATCTTTTTTCATCAATATAAAACATTAGTAAAATACTTTCAGTCCTAAATTAGAGTAAAAAAGAACAAGGAGGTGAATGAGTAGTTGTTTGTCAGTATTTGAGTGAAAGTTTAGTGTGGCCTGCAGTAATATGAGTGAGCTGCTGAGTTACTCAACCTTTAACTGAAGCTGCTCACTGCCAACAAGGGCTGTTAGATTGTTATTCTTAGCAGCAAACATATTTGTTTAGATGTTCAAACCCTAAACCATTACAGCTACTCCACTTTAACTTTATATAATAATTAACTTTCATCACATTATCTGTAACACAAACATTGTTGATAGAAGTTTCCTGCAGTAACTGTTGGACTGAGAGGAAAATCTGAAATAATGGAGTTTCTGTTTTAGCTTTACACCTGATTGTTGACCTGGTTGTGATCAAATCTTTGTTGCTCATTCACATAATTACTAAACTACCATAATAAAGACTGACATTTGTTTGTTTGCTTGTTTGTTTGTTTGTTTGTTTGTTTGTTTGTTTGTTTGTTTGTTTTCAGTGTTTGGTTTAAGTAAAACTAAATTAAGCAAGTTGGATGTTTTAATGCATTTGTTTTTTTGAGGTTGTGTTGTTGTTTTTTTCTCTTTTTTTTTAAACCTTAGCATGTGTTTGTTTGTGACAGCTGGCTCCAACCTCCAGTGTCTCTTTAGTGAGTTCAATGAAAATAGTCCAGAACCCAGTTGCCACCTGTGACCAGGTCTACACCCTCATTCAAAGCCTCACCTCCCAGATCCGCAAAACAATGGAAGATCCCAAATCTGCAGGTGAGACGAAACCCCTTTCACTTTAAACATTTGACCAAATATCCAACCATCAGTACCTTACTGCTGTGCAGAAGCTTCTTTTTTTTAATTAAAATCTGAGTTTCTGCTTCATCAGACCTGCAGCTGTACCACAGTGAGTCACTGGAGCTGATGCTGCAGCGCTGGTCCAAACTAGAGAAAGACTTTCGTATGAAGAATGGCCGCTATGACATCAGTAAAATTCCTGACATCTATGACTGCGTGAAGTACGATGTCATACACAAYGGTTCTCTGGGCCTTCAGGACACGCAAGAGCTGCTCAGACTGTCTCGAGCCTTGGCTGATATTGTCATCCCACAGGTGAGGGGACAAATCACAGCATATTACTTATCTTTTAATAACATTGTTTTTGACTTGTTCTCTTACAACCACTGACAAAAATGATKAAATCACCACTCATGAAGGGTTTTCTTTCATTTTTTTTTACTTGAACATAAAAATTTAAACACAGTCATGCCACAAAACCACAGAAACACATTATAGTAACGTTGTTGGACCCTATTGATCCTAAAGTTACTTGATCAATACTTTACTTCCTGCTCGTTGCTTCATTCCATAAATAAAAAGCTGCACCRGAGCATCCGGTCAGAGTCAGGCTCAGATATAAACACTGAACTAAACAAGCATCAGATAATTATTTAATCGGYTCTGATTGCACAACTTTTAAAAATRAAAATCTGCCAATAATTTTATTTATCCATCCATCCATTATCTATACCTGCTTCTTCCTTTCAGGGTCACTGGTGCCCATATCCAGCAGTCCCTGAGGGGCGGGGTACACCCTGGACAGGTCACAAGTCCATCACAGGGACACATAGAGACAAACGAGACAAACAACCATTCACTCTCACCTAGGGACAATTTAGAGTTATTCAGAGTTTCCTTTAGAGATGGCTCAATTGGTAGAGCTGATGTCTCTCAGCAAGAAGGTTGCTGGATTGATTTCTGGGTAGAGTTKGCAWGTTCTCTCCATGCAAGCGTGGATTTTCTCTGGGTACTCCAKCTTCCTCCCACACACAAAMAAATGACTTTTAGGTTAATTTTGTTTATAAAAAGATGTTTGCCATAATGGTAATGTGAACATCAGATATTTAGGGCAAAATTTTAACAATTCTCTTCTAGATATTAAGTTTTTTCGGAACAAAAACTCCTCAGTCACTGCAAAAGTTGTGTTTTTTGTGCTCTTGCAGGAATATGGCATAAATAAAGCAGAGAAACTGGACATTGCATATGCATACTGTCTCCCACTGGTCAGGAAGATACAGCTGGACCTGCAGAGAACCCATGGAGACGAGTTTGTCAACAAACTGCATCCTCTGTAAGTCAAGACTGAAATTTTATTATGCATCATTTGCATTTATCATTTGCTTAAATATTCAAGCCCCTTATCTTCACTGTGGTCCCCACATCCCCAGTCTCGAGCTATTCCCACCTGCCTGGCATTGCTCCAAACATAAAACCAACTTGCAGCGTCTCATCTCATCATATCACGTCTATTTCTTCTTATACTCATGCAGGACTAATCCATAGAGCACAACAAGGGGTCAAAGCAGAGAATGCACTATCCTTACTTCCCGAATCCTTCCAAAATAAAATATGATGGCAGATGCTGTGCTCAAAAGTTTTTTTT